AAGCCAATTAAATTTTTAAAGGTATTGTATTCTAAAGCTCACATTCGAATAATTTATGTCATATGTAAGCGTGCCTGTACGCGGCACGAGGGCCTGATTGTGTTTAACTATGTTTCGTTTATGTACGTTATTTTGCAATATGTTCGTGTAATATTAGTCAACATCTGCAGCATAACTTACATCTGGAAGACGTAGAAAAGTTTTTTTTCTATTATTGTCGCTATAGAAACACCCCCTATTGAAATTGGAGCCTTTGTTAGGCCTTTGTTCGATATCCTTTGACGTAGCTTCTCGTGTAACGTTTTTGCATCTGAATAAACAACGTAACGGGTGCTATGTATGTATTTACATTTTTGCTCCGTAATAGAGAATTGTGCTCGCGTTACTGGGCCTCTGTCAAATGATAATCCTTAATTTCACTGATCTCTGAAAAAAAAAATTTGTGAGGAAGTGTACCTAGTTACTGTACCAAGCGGTATCAAATCGAATAAGGCCATCTGTCAACTGTACAAGATGGAGGCCCCACCATTAAAATCCTCGGGACGCGATAATATACAACTGCATCACGGTATAGTCATAAAACTGCTGTACATGTAAGTGAGTTTGACAGATTATATAGAACGTAGATATGGAAAGAGATAGCAGTTTATGGAATTACTATTATTATTTAAAGTTTTTCATAGCTAATCGCTGCACTTAAGATTAAACATTAAAACTTGTAGAAAAAGTACGAAAAGTTTGACGCCGCTGTGGGAATTCGTATTGTTTTTATTATGTTCAATGACATCTGTAAGTGTTAAATAGTGAAGTAAGTTCTAAAAAGTATTAATGAGGATTTTCTAAAACTATTTATGTACTCGTCAAGTATATAATCAAAGACAAATATCAGATAAATCAAAGCTTTCTATTTCGTTACAAAACAATTAAATTATGGAATATAAAAAATTTATTCATTAATTCATTTAAATAAGCATTTTAAAATAAGTAAAGGGTTAATAATAGCCTATACTTATTTATATACCAATTTAATTGTTATGAAACTAATCTATTTTCCCAGCTTCAATGTGTTTATGTTATGCTTTATGACACTTAAGATCTATGGTCAGGAGATAAACTAAGGATTTTGGATAAATGAATAACAAACGTATTTAAGAATTACTTAAATTCGCCTTGATATCAGTAGTGTTTAATCTGTGTCCAAAATTATTGTTTTGATATCTACATAGATATATATTCAGTACAAAATCATAATATATATATACATAATCCTTCCATTGTTAACTTAGAAATAACTTGGCTGATATTGGGTCCGGAAAAATAATTGGTCACTATATAAGTTCTTGGCTCGCGTTACTATTGCGGGGGTATATTGGAAAACTTTGTTTTCCCGTGGCGACATCAACACGTAATTGCTCTGTTGCTACGTGAACAATTGAAACATTCATTTTATTCTGCGTGCCAATATTATACATTTTTATTTCACGGCAATAAAATAATAAAATAAACACATTAGAGACATAAATTGATAAAGGTTTAATTCAATAATATAATTTAATGTTAATAATGTTTAAAGTTAAGTAATAAAGCCTATGTGTCAAATTTCTGGGTAAATGTCTCCTCTGTATAGAAGGTATTAGGACATGGTCCACCACGCGACCCCATCGCGGATTGGCAGACTTCACATATTTTTGAAATATGTTTTTCATTAATATTCCTTGTTGCATGAATTCGTGAGCTCGTCCATTCGTTCATCTCATATATAAAATAACAAGCATCCATGTCTTTTAACAGTGTAGGCTTTGACAGATGGATAACTATCTAACTAGAAGCTCATAATCGAGACCAACTAACCCCAGCCATGAATTTTTTTTTTATGCGAAAAAGTGGCAAACGTGGGGATAAGTAAACCGCCGCCCATGGACGCCGCAAATGCATTGCCACCTTTAAATAAAGTGGACCCCAGCTACCTCACTTACCAGACGAAACGCAGAAGTATAACACTTCTACTTTACGCCGGTCTTCTGTGAGGTTGTGGTAATTACCCGAACGGACCTACCCATTAGTGAAACAGTGAAAACTGTTGCGTGGCACTACCACAAAGGTGACAATGATATCGGTTTTTTGCACTAAACAAATCAATCCCATTACAACCGATTGCGATTTTAACTTAAAGCTAAGAAAAACATTTAAATTAAACGTATATTCCTTAATTAAAACCATTTTAATAATTTAAACTAGAGTTAAACCTTTAAATTTTTTTTATGTTAAAAACGCACGTTTCATGCTGCATATTATTTTTTATTTCACAAAGTCTTTGCACATGCCTTGGGTAAATGCGTTATTTTTAGAGAAGAGGAAAATTAAAGGGTAAAAATTAGGAGGCGGAAAATCTTATTAGATCCCACCATTAGGCGTAATGAAAGCTCGAGTGTTACTTCCCGTACTTTATATCACGATAAAGAACCTTCATTTAGTCTCGGTAGGTACTCGATAAATTTTGTTCATCATTGAGCTATGTTATCTTCACCATAAGAAAGAAAGAAAGAAAGAAAGAAAATACATTTATTTACCAAAAGAAGGACGCACACAATAAAAGAGAAAGAAAAACTAAAATTAACAAAAAATAAAAGAAAATAAAAAAAATACTTATAAATAATCAGTAAAGCGAAAGAACACAAATACATAATTAAAATATAAAACAAATGAAAAAGAACTTTAACAAACTATAAATATTGTACGCCCTATTTCGGTAAATATTCCATACCATTGAATTTTGAAAATATTTAAGGTCAAACCGTGTCGAGTTTCCGCGCAATTTTTGCTGTACTTTTGCCAAATTTTATGATTTTAGGTCAACGGGAACTAACATAGAGGTTTTCGACCCAAAGCCTATAGGGTACTTCCGGTTGACAGTTTAGGTTAAAGACAAGGACTTACAACACAAGTAAAGGGAAAATTTGTTTATTAGAGAACTGAGTATGTCGTGTAAATTACAATTTGGTGACACACGGACAGAAGACGGACAAAAGAGTGATCATATAAGTGGTCCCTTTTTACCCCTTGAATATAACAATTTTATGACTTGATTTAATTTATAACGCAAGTATTTACTAAATATTGCAAAAAATATTTATTTAAATCGGCCATAATTTTTAAAATATTAAAAAATTGTCAAAATTATTCGGATGTATATTTTCAAATTAAATTTTAATTAAATTTTCCTTTCGTCATATGAACAAGAATTTTTGCATCTTTCGAATTATTATTCGGGGCACGATGTTCGTAATTACTTTGTCTTCACCATTCATTAACTCCGAGACAAAATTTTTTTTTTTTTGCTTATAGTAAAACTAACAGTCAGCCTCGTAAAGGCAATTACAATGAAATGTATTTGTTCCATGAGTTGTAAAAGCGTATGTCATTTTTAATGATTCGAAGCTCTTCTAAAAAGAATTTTTATCGGCTGCGCTTGAATTCAAATTAAAACTATTAGAGTTACGTATATTCGTTAATGGAATATTTATAAAAATAATCCAATGTATTTTTTTATTACTCGAATTGTAATTCGACTTAAATTAAGAAAGTAAATTCTATGTCGTCGTGTGAACGACGCCTATTATCCGCCAGAAATAGGGGGCCAAAATCTTATTCTGCAGATAGCTATATCTAAGTTTTAAATCCGGTATAAATCGGATAACTCCGGTACAAAGCGAATTGGGATCGTCTGGGAATTTCGCAAAGAACGAAGCATTTAATTTACTCGCAGAAACTAATGCTTTCGGTTATCGATCATTTCATAGTAGTTTCACTTGCGGCTTTTAAATGCCTTCAGCAGCTTACCTAGCACTAAAGGCAAATATAGTCAAAATACCTAAGATGAATATTTCAAGGCTTCCTTTAATATTGTGATTCGGCTTACGTCATGGTTGTTCTAGAGACTAATAGTATGATGACGTGAACAAGTTAACCTACGCTATTTCAACGCCTGCTTTGTCCTTTCGGTATATTGTGAAGTGGCTGAATTATAAATTGTATGCGTTCTTTAAATCTAACGAAAAAGAGCACAGGTGTGCAACCTGATGTTAAGTGAATACCGCCGCCCATGGAAATCTGCTACACCCGTGGGTCGCAGATGCGTTGACAACCTTTTGAAAATTGGGCTCCGGCCACCTCACTGGCCACATCAGATAAAACGCGAAAGTATTATACTTTCACTTTACACCGGTCTTCTGTCCTTCTGCATATCTCAGATATTAATTGCCAGCAGCTAATTAGTGCTTTATTTATATAACATTAGGATAATGGAATAATGAAAATGAAAGACTGTTTTACTAATAAATTAGTTTTATTTAAAAATGAAAACCATTCAAACCTGTATAAAATTGTTGTTTATCGGTGTGCTTATTGTTACTTTAAACAGAAATTAAAAGATACAGTAACTGTATAAATGATTCGAATTTAAACATAATATTATATTCGTTTGGGAAAGCGAGTTAAATAACCTCCGAGTATAATAAATAATAAGATCAGGATTACATCCAATACTCAAAAATGTATTGCAACTGGCTAGATTTGCGCCGTAAACATGATTTTGCTAAAACCGTAACAAATAAAAACATACAGTGAGAAAAAAGTGACACTATTTTAGCAATTGTGTTTAGAGATGCTTAATTAAATACTTAATATTGAGGGAGATAATTCTAAATTTTATCAAATAAAGCTGTTGGGATGAGTATAATCTAATTTTATAATAAGCTTTGTGGATAAAAGTTAAAACAGATCTATTAAAAATGTAATTAAAAACAAAACGATCGCAGCATTGCTTGGCAAATATTCCTACAAACTTATTGCACATGAGCGCCTTTGGCATTAAAACTTACAGCTTCTGATAAAGTTAGTTGTATGTATATATAACTCGTATATTAGCGTGGTGAATAAACTTTAAACATTAATAAACAATCAATACATGAAGTCTTGTTAAGAAAGTCGGTCAATGTTCAATGTAGCAGCTTCGTTGAACTGCAAAAGAAACAAAATTTTTTAAATTTTTGGTTTCTGTTATTAATTCGTTAAATAACAATACTGTCTGTTTTATGTCAAACAAATCTCTTTCTTTCTTTCTTTCTCTCTTTCTACTGTAAAGACGGCACATATTTGTTATACTAATTTTGTATAACCTTTAAAAGTGTGTAATTTTTTCAATACAACAAATATTTACGAAATCTACATAGAAAATTTAGTAAATGTAAATAATATTTTGCTTCCAGCAATAAATAGACAATATTGGGAATTCAATCAATTCTGTGGACCATACTTTTGTGTTTCTGTCAAATAGAAAATAGTCATACCTTAAAACACTTGCACTCGGTGATTTTCTCGATCGCACACGATTATGTTGCCTCCGGACATTACGGCGATGCCTTCTAGGCCCTTGAACTCTCCGTCGCCGGAGCCCCAGGATCCGAAGGCGCGAAGGAACGTTCCGTCCGGATGGAAAATCTGGATACGGTTGTTCCCGGAGTCGGCGACGACGATGTAGCCCTGGTCGTCGACCGCTACGCCTCTGAATTCCAAAACATGACATATAAGTGACTAGCTTTTCGCCCACGGCTTCGCTCGCCTTGAAGCATTTAAATAAATATCTTTCTTTAAAATAAATTCCAATTAAAAATAGCCTATAAGCTGAGAAAACATATATCCTTTCTCAGGCTCTAGACTATCTGTGTACCAAATTTCATTTAAAACGGTTCAGTAGTTTTGGCGTGAAAATCGAGACAGACAAACAGAGTTACTTTCGCATTTATAATATTAGTATAGATTCTATAACGATAGAAGACCGCTTTGAATGCCATCTGTAGGTGTTTCTCCCGATGAGCTGACAAATTATGGAGCAGCTTTGCTATAGCATTAATGCTGGCTTCAACACAACAAATTCTGAAAGATCTAATCACAATAATTTGCTCAGATTTCAGATGTTTCGATTTGTATATGTTTTACTCAGCACATGACAAGATTTATATTCATAGTATCATTTTGGAGTCTTCAAAGCATCAGATTCTATAACATAATCAATGAATCTCGGTGACATGAGACCATGTAAGCCGTGGAAACACATAACATAAGCTGTGGTAGGTATAGTATACACGCTTGGTTTTACCTCAGTACATATACAAGCTGTTCAAATCACGATCCCGGCACAATAGAGTAGTTGATTACAATTGTAAACCTGCATATTTAGGACCTGCAACTATGGTAGGGCCACGCAATGGTCTTCGCTGTTGCATGAGAGGGCAGATACGACTGGTACCACGACCTTACAGAAGATCGGTGTAAAATGGAAGTATTATACTTCTGCATCTGCTTCTGTCATCTGGTGTGTCAGGTAGCCAACTTTATCAAAAGTTAACGTTTTTATAAAGAAATTGTTTTCATTATTAGCATGTTGGATTTCAAATATGAATTTACTAATCTGTAAGCATATACGATGTCTTTTGTAAGATTTAATTTAGTTTACTGATAATTTATCTTTAGTGTCCACGTCGTATTTTTTTTTTTAGTTTACATATAATAACTCTTTTTACCAAAGTTGTGTATGCCTGAATAGGCATATATATATATATATATATATATAAGAATTGCCCATATAGCAGAGAACACATAAATTATCCTAAATTTTGTGCTGTCAGGTAAACCGCCAGCTACACTTGCCACATTCTTATATAAAGTAATAAACTAAGAAGTTATATGATATTTGCACGCTCAAATGTGTTTTTTTCCATACTATGACCACCATTGTACAACCCTTACATAAGTGTCATTTTTAATGTATTCTTTTTAACCATGGTGTGTGCAATAAAGAATATTCATTCATCAACTAAAGACATAATTAAAAGTACCCGTCCGTACGTAGGAACTTTACAAACAACATATTACATTTAATCATTTTAACAAGACCTAAGCAAATCAAATGACACAAAAATATAGATACACAAAAGTATAAATATTATGGTTTTAAAGAGTTTCTTGCTTGCAATTATTACAAATTAATTTATGACCAAGATCTAAAAATGTTTAATTTACTTATTTTATTTTACAAAGTTGTCGGTTTATATTTTGTATATTTTTTAAAGTTCGCTATTTATTCTTATCACTTTCAAAATATTAAAATGAACTCAATTTCTCGATGTAGATGAACGCCACATAAATTCACTATCAAAACACTACATGAAGTGGGTATCAAATGAGAAATAAAACAGACGCTGTGGAATCAGGTCACGTACTTAAGGAGGTACAGATTTCGGTCAAGATCCAATATTATTAACTAAATTTATCTATATATTCGATTTAAAAGACAATACGCTTTTTAATACTGAAACGTTAACATTTCAAGTGTAAAAGAAAACAGCGAGAAGTTTATCAGTTCCGATTAGTTATCATCGTATTATAGAGCCGTGTTAGCTCATATATCAAGATACGCTTTTTTAATACTGAAACGTTAACATTTCAAGTGTAAAAGAAAACAGTAAGAAGTTTATCATTTCCGATTAGTTATCAACGTATTATAGAGCCGTGGTAGCTCATATATCAAGTCAAGTCAAAATTTCTTTATTCAACATAGGCTTACTTTAAGCTCTTATTGAACGTCTAAAACTACCACCGGTTCACTAAACTAGACTATTTGTACCTTATTATTAAGAAAGTTAATAGGTGTCGATAAATTGTCGTAGAAGCACAGCAGATTTCGCCCAGCGTGTTGGCGCATTATCGATTCCAATTGGTAGTGCTTCTTGTGATAGTGTAGTGGTAGTGATTTATTAATATTTATATTTTAGCTTACATTTTAAAATTGATAGTAGACGATACCTTGGGAACTTGAACTGCCCATCCTCGGAGCCTTCCTCGCCGAACGACGACAGCACCCGCCCGTTCACGTCGAACACCTGGACCCTGTGGTTGTTGGAGTCGGAGACCAGCACCCGGTTGGTGCTGGACACGGCGATGTAGTGAGGATGCTCCAATTGGCCCAGCTTGGAGCCGAAAGAGCCGAATTTGCCCACGAACGTGCCGTCAGACTGGAACACCTGCAATGACTACAACGCCTCGACAAAAACGACAAGCCCGCCCGTGACTGCCAGTTACGTCGATCTATGTATTAATAAAGGTGGTTTTGGACGGTGGTAGGGCCACCAGCACCTCGGCTGTTGCACGAATGGGCAGGCCCGTCCGGGTAATGACCTCACAGAAGATGCGTAAAGTGGAAGTATGAGCCAAATACTTTCGCGTTTCGTCACGAACGTGAGTGACTGGAAACCGGCAAGCCCAATTTTCAAAAGGTTGTCAAACATCGTAATCCTCGGGTGTTGCAAATGAACCATGGGTCACTGTGGCGGTATTCACTTACCATCAGGTGAACCGTCTGCTCGTTTGGCAACTTTTCACATTAAAAAAAAAAAAAAAAATGTCCATACTGCGTGACGCTTAAAATTGTTCCGTATTATATTATATTACATAAGTGAATCGGACAGATGATATGAAATGTATGATACGAAAAGAGATAGCAGTCTATAGAATTGCAATCTAGGTATGCATATTGGTGTAATTTGATTGCCTCAGTTTCGGTGCGTTAGTGTCATATCTACCTCGTATCTGTATATGATTGTTATTATTGCATTATTGCCATCATTGTTATTATGTCATTGTTAATATATCATTATTTAACGACTATTTACGAAGTATCGCATACAAAATATTTTAATATAAAATTCTATCCACCGTTATTTTTGTCATGACATCAAAATAATTAAATAAATATTAGTTATAGTAGTATTGAATTATTTAAAGGATTTCACCACGAGTCAATCACACTATTAGTACTTCCTAAAGCATAAAATAAATATCTCTTCCCCATTGTCTCTTTTGCTGTGAGTGCCATTGAATTATTTAAATCGCATTATTAGTATATGTGCTGGTAACTGCGTGTACCACCACACCTTAATGTCAATGTGGGATGGATGAGCTTATGTCATTTCTATGGCGGTTAAGGAATGTCAAAATAAGCCGACCGATGTCATTGAATGCTTTTACTGCCCAGAAATGTATTAAAATTATAATTACGAACTAAAGTATAAACTAGGTCGCGCATACGAGCGTTGCATATGCCGTGTGCGCAGTTTTGCTACACAATAGAAAATGTACGGCTTTGCCTGTACAGTATATTTTTTAAAATACTCCATAAAAATACCTGTACTCTATGGTTTTCCTTGTCACAAACATATATGAATCCGAGGGCATCCGTAGTTATACCCCATGGGTAGTTGAACTTTCCATCGCCTGTTCCTTGACTGCCAAACGATCTTAGGAATCGACCAGCGGGATCAAACACCTGTAAAAGTTAATATTCGGAATGGATGATCTCTTTTTGGCGATGTTATGAATTAACCGTTAAGTGAAGTTTTCAAATTAAATTTTTTTTTTTTAAAATTGAGTTACACGTTTTCGTCGTGAATCTATAAACAATTAACGCCATATAATCGGTAACTGCCGTGAAAAACCTTATTCATTTTAAATAACAGTCATATATTTCATGAATACTTGTATGTATATACGAAGAAGACATCTTTGAAATGTGAAATATGTGGCATTATTTATTTATTGATACTGCATAAGTCACCATCAGTAAAGGGCTTCAATAAATGAACATAATGCCCTTGTTAGGGTTAAAAATATATGGCAGGAAAATTAAAAAGAGTAATACTAGAAATTTACTTTTCTTCGTAAAATAAAATTTATAAACAAAACCAAAAATGAGATAAGCTGATTAAGTCAATGATATAACAGGTATTCTTAATCTAATCGGAACTTTATTGGTCTTAACGAGGAGGGCGTTCCAGAGTAGCGTAACTTTAAAAGTAAAAGAAGAATTGATATATCTGGTATAATATTTCGGAGTACGGATTTTAAATTGGTTCATAGAATGAGGTCCGCTTTCAGGAGAAGAGTGAAAACATTGGAAGGCATTCTTAAGATATGAAAGAGAATTAGAATGATGGAACGACTTTGTCGAATAGAACGCCAGTTAAGCTTATAACGGTACAAAAAGCGTCAACCGAATTTTTTGTGTATTGTAGTGGTTTACAATTAATAAATTTTTAACGTTAAAGAACTTAAATAATTATAATAATTAATCTGTTAACTCCATTTAAATCTTTGTTACTAATACGTAATTATATAACTTACCCTTTTTTATAAAAAGCTAAGTTATATTAACAATATTCGAAGAATCGATGGCACAGTTGCAAAGACAACGACTTCGGAGCTTAGGGTCATGAGATCGATTTCCACAAGGGACAGGAAGAATGGTTGACGTTATGTATCCAATCCCACATAGGTGGGATAAAGACAAGAGAAATAACAAGAAAAGTAACCTATTTATTGGTGTTGTTAAAATAATAATTAAAGTGAAAAATATCTACGATTTGGTCTCCGTTTCTCAAAGATGCACTAAACTTTTTTTCGGGATATAAAACTTTCATAAATATCAGGCCTATTTTTTAGATCAACTCAAATCTGTATTTATAATTTTTTATTACATAAAAGATTTAATTTTGACATATATTTCATGTTAACATTATGTTTCAGGTGATGTCTTTACAAATTGACATAGCAATCTTTACGAGTATACGTTACTGACAATGATTCAAATGATGAGCGATAAGATATTTAATTCGCAATATTTATTGGTTTTAAAAAATATGCCTCAATAGCTTTTTATAAATCTTGTAACAGTAGACGTTGCGCGGTAACACACAACATAACTTACTTGTATGCGATGGTTATATCTGTCAGCTATTATATATTGTCCAATGCGATTGACAGCAACACCAGCGAGGCAGTCAAATTCACCCTCCCCGCTGCCATACTGTCCAAACTCCTTTATGAAAATTCCATTCATATCAAACACCTGCAAATTACGAACGGAAAAATTACTTCTAATTCTTCGAATTTGTAAACTTATCAATTTTACGCAACTTTAATAACACTTTCAAACTTTGCCGCGTTAAAATTACAAATATACAGTATTGTAAATATATTTTTGATTCCTCTTCACACTGAAGTGGAATGAAATACTACTTATCCCGTGAAAGCAAACATGTGAATGGGCGTGAACAGAAGCAAATCGTTTACCATATAAACTGGACCCAAACTTATTTTAGCTTGGGATCGTAGTCAAGTTCCATGCAGGTTTATTCATTTATTTGATTACTGTCTAATGAAAACTAACACGGTACAAAATGACGAAGATTATAAATTCAGATTTGGTTCATGGCTATTATTAAACATTCCAGCGTCTGCGCTCGCCACAAGGTCAAATTAAGCGCTGATCTCTACTATTTTTGGATTTAACGGATGTACTAAACCCGAATTTATTACCGTTAACTACCTACGTATTTTTATGATTACACATCGAAATAACATAAATTTTGTAAACCATGGTCTTAAGAACGTTTTTTAAATAATATAATAATTTGAAGGCTTATAAAATAGTAAACAATGTAACTAATTATTTAATATAATGCTATGTTAGCCTTAGATGTACATTAAATTGTTCATTGCTTTCATGACGTTATAATTATTGTAGATTAACGGTCAATACACCCAATACCTACATAAATTAAATATAAACACTCACGTATGAAAATTAGAGTGAAAAATTGAAATAAAGTATTTCCGGCAAATTTGTAAAAAGACCTTCATACATACAGGTCAGAGCCGTGTTAGCGTGATAGTAAGGCGAGCCCCCCGACAATGATGTCGGGGCGCTCGCCTTTAATTGAATGTACTCTAGCAACCTGAGTTCGACCCCCGGTGCCGGCACCAATAATATTGTTAATTTTAAGTGCTGAATTATCACGTGCTCAGCAGTGAAGTGAATCCGCAGTGGGGCCGCGTGGTGGACTATGCCCTGATACCCTCTGTACAGAGGAGGCCTTTGCCCAGCAGTGGGACATGTATAGGCAAATACTTTACCTTTTTACTTTACATGAAGTTCAGAAACCTCTGCGCTCCATCTTAAATCCTTTTAGTAAATAGTATTACAATACAAAACAAAACTAGCTTTGCACATTATCGAAATATCGTTGACCTATGACACACTTTATCTTACCTGCACGCGATGATTGGATGAATCAGCCACGACCATAGTATTGTCGGGCCCTACAGCGATACCACGAGGCCATGTGAAACAACCGGGTTCGCTCCCCCGACTCCCCACGCTGAATTGTAAACGGCGTTTCTGCAGATACTGGCTCCTAGGGGAGGAACCTGCTGCTGCGAAACCTGAGAAGGAAAGTGATATCAGCCAAGAAAATATTATACCAATTTTATAAATCCAATGAAGCCGCAACCCTATTTACACGCCACTCTCGAAGTCTAACCTGCTACCGCTGCTGTAGCCGCCGTAGGGGAGATGGGGGAGCCTGCCGCGTTTTTTGAATCATCATCAGAACTAGCAAGCTCGTTGGCAGAACGTAAAGGCAACCCGAGAGACAGACGCCGAGCAGTGCTTGACGTTCCTCCAGAGTCACGGTCTTTGCCCCGCGATCCGTACTTATTTTTTAAGTACCTAGCCCAGGAACTTAAAGCTGCTCCATCTTTTTCACCGGTTACTGGGCGTTCCGGTGAACTTTCCCTGGATTTCAGAGCATGGGAGGAACGGCTACGAGATAACTCTGATCCTCCTGTACCAGAGCCATATCGAGCCGCAAGGTATGCTGAAGGTGAAGCAGTCGTTGGAGACACTGGGTCGTCCGCTTCATCATCATCTCCTACTCCGAAGCCAGTGTGGCTACTTTTGCTTCTCGCTAAACGATTACGACGCTCTTTAAGAGCGAGGTATCGCGATCGAGCAGTCGGATACTTTGTGTCGTCGTCTATTGATGACGTCATTTCATCATCCTTAGGCTTGCTGCCATAGCGACTGTACGAAGAACCACTAGCGCCGTATCTGGTCGATGGTTCTTCTTCGGTTTGAGACGGTTGGCGAGAACGATAACGGGACTGAGCAGGTGGATCTTTAGATTTGTTATCATGAGCGTCATTTCTAGCATTTGTGCTGCGTGCAAGAAGTGGGCCAATATCGCTACGCGCCATTGCCTGACTCTCGGGCTTCCTTTGCGTGACAGGCTCCTCTTCACTCTCCTCCGACGATTCAGTTTCCTCCTCAGAGCTTGACTCAGAGTCTTCGTGTGCAGGCTCAGCGGGTGCTGGAGCAGGCGTAGGCCGTTGCGAGCCAACGAATCGACTTTGAACACGTTGCGCACCCCCAGCTGTTCCATTCGTCGTAGACGGTGTCGTTCTTTCATTGCCTGCGGAAAAGAAACGAGACCCTGGTTTTGGTGGAAGCCCATTGGCACTGTATTTCGCTTTTAATTCTGCGATGGTTAGTATCGCACCTGTGTGTTTTACCGCCGAGCCAGAACTTTCCGTTGAAGCACTCGATTCAGTACTTGGAGCACGGGCCGCAGGACGATGTGCACTTGAGGCCTCCGATGACGATGGTCTTCTCGAAGCAATTGTTGGTTTTGGAATCGTGGTAGAGTTTTTCCTTTGTGTACGTTGCAAAGTACCTACAGATTCGTCGGATTCACCGTCACTGGATGCCTGAGGAATACATTCAAAATCTGTATGGGCGCCAATATGCAAGTCATAATTTCATTATTGTGTTGTGTTTTGTGTGACTATGAGTTAAACGTGGAGTGTATTTTTTAATGGAATGCCGTTAATGTTTGCGTTTATCTTGTTAGTATCGTGAATTACTAAACTCTACATCGTTGTGTACTCGCTCCGCTCTTATTTTATTCCCTCTCATCTTCCCAACTCACCTCCCGAGCAGGTGTCGGTGGTTTACGAGCGATTGAGTTACGTTCTTCTTCGGCATTACGCTGCGTTGACCGATCTGGCTCTTGAGATGATGCAGCTCCTTTATTTTGCCTTTTTAATCGCGATATTTCATCATCTTCACTTTGTTGTCTTTGTGTAGGTGGACGTCGTTGAGGTTGTGGTGTAGGTTGTACTGGTTTTGGTGGAGGGGGAGGTTCTTTTTTTTCTTTCTTCTTTCCACTATCTACATCGAGGATACGCTGCATGACGCGAGGACAATCACTGAGCCTAAATATACCACTAAGAGGACCTCGTGTTGCATCTTCTGTATCTGTTACTTTTTCTTTTTCTTTCTCCTTTTGTTCGGATTTAACAACTCTACTGCTTTGTTCTGTATCAGAATCATTATCTTGTTGGTGGCTTCTTACAAATCGTGAGCGGAACCTACGGGAGGGTCTATGCTCAGATTCATACCCACTATAATCATCAGTGGCTCCGTAATCTCTTGTATGCTTTTCTGGTGGAGGAGGTCTCTTTTCACCAAACTTGCGACCTCCTAATATTGGCTCATCATTTTCCGTGTATCCCTTTGCTTCTTCTTGCTGACGGAATTGGGTTGCTAGGCGATGGTCACTTTTAGATCTTGTTAATCCTTGAGATGGCTGCAAGCTGTTAGCGTAAGTATTAGGATGAGTTATGTTCAATTCGCCATAACTTGCAACGTGAAGAACAAGTTGATTTGGATCGTGTGTCATTATAAATCTAACTCTACGATTGTAATCACCAGCCTCATAGTCAAAGTTCCTTAAGAATTCTACAGTCTTTAGGAAAATTTCTTTGGTATCTACTAGTTCCGTATCCTCCCACTCTACGTCATCATTCATATATTTATCAGCGAGATCACAATTGCTTTGAATGTTACTTAATTCTAACTCAAGGTTATCTTTAAGGTTGGTTAGATTCCTAAGTTCCGTAGCTAAATAACGGTCAATCTCGTTTCTGAGAAAATCAGTTCTATCTTTTAAAGCTTTCGCCAATCGTTTGTGTATTTCATCAACTTCCCCTGCTACAGCCGCGCAATTCGTTTGAAGATTCGTTGTGTTGCGTTCAACAACACTTAGAATATCCTGTAGTCTGTTTACGCCACGACGGATTTGATTGTTAATTCTTGCGATTTCTCTGCGCAGTACTTCCATATGCGCTGATTTGCAATCATCACAAACTTTCTTGTCGCAGTGAGCACATGGAGCACAATAAGCTTTTTCGGAACAAACGTTACATCTTTCCATAACCTGTCCCGCTGTGGGATCCGGTAGCTCCCCTGCAATTTGAGCATGTAGTTCTAAGAACCTTTGCAAGGTAACATTTGTTGGAAATCCTTGAACTCCTTGATAAGGAATTCGATGTTCCGCGCGACATTCCGGACACTTAACCTGTAAACAATTAATTTATAAGTCTGTCTGCTTTGAACATTGTGCAGTCAGATTAATCAATTATTAGGATTAAGAAGTTGAACTGTTACAACGTTACAAAAGAAAAGGCTGTATATCTTACCTGCCGTCTTACGTAATCGACTAGACCGTCCATACACGGCTCCATACAGAAACTGTGTTGGCATGGTAGCAATTTTGGGTTCCTAAACCGGTCTAGGCAGACACAGCACGTCAGCAATGATTCAAACTGCTCCATTTTCGCTTAGCCCAGCTCCAATTTAACTGCAAACAAAACATTTAATAATCTCAGTGAATCTATGTGTATTGTGGATCATCTGATTCTGAATTTGTAATTAAGTTCAAATTGTGAGTTTTTGTACTCTACTATAATCAGTGGCCTCCAGTTAAGACGCAAAGTTAATTAAGTATGGGAGTACTCATATTAGATAGTAGCTCACATTATTTTTTTTATTTTTGGAACTAAAGTCAAATGAGATTTGAAAAAAAAAAGTACTGAGCTAAAACTACTGAAATTGGAATACATTGATACATTGACGATGTAGTAATAGAATGAAACGGTGTTTCCGTTTCTAATAATAAAGCAAAACATATGCCTCCCCGTTCAAGAGCGCCGATAACAACGGTCACGTGCTTGGAGTAACGACACGTCATTTCTAAATTTAACTATTTTTAATTTAGTAACGCATCAATAATTAATGCATTAATCGTTAGTTAGGAAATATAAATAGAATGAGAAGATTTCACGAAAAATCTCTTATACAGTTACAGTATAAATGCTGAAAAACGTTTATATAATCACTAAACTTTCGAACGTTCACTTTATTAAATAATATTTATTATCATTAAATTTAATGAAGTGAACATTTGGAAAGGGCACAAAAGTAGATCTGTCGCATATTATTTTTTGCAACATGACGTCCAAAACCCCTTACTACGAACATAATGTCTGTAGAATACTTAATTCGGAGTTGGTGCGGCAAATATCAGCAGAGATCCGGCTAATTTTAAAATTAGAAACACCGTCTGGTGTTTCACACGGCTCCTGAAACTCACCACTGTATACCGGCAAACGTCATGCAACCGTACGCCATTGCCATAAAGTTCATTTTCTATTGAACACACTGTAACAGTGTTTATGACAGTACAAGGATTTACCTATTCCTTTTTGTTAATGATAAATACAATAGTAGTTACTCCATAACCAAGGTTAATGTAAGTGATGAATTTTATATCGCGGGCATTTACATTGCGTTGTCAAGATTCCTTACATTCGAATAGCGATCAAAAACTGTGAGCAAAAGAGGAGTGGAACCAATCATGTTTTGAAATATCAGTATGTTTAGATTGAAAACTGTGATAGAAATTGAAATAATAATTATCGGATTACCGAGTATCAACGGTTATATTTCAATTTGAACATCTTCGTTTTTCAGTTTTTCCTTGAAAATTCATATTTAAAGATGGACGAAACAATCGAAGCATTATTTTTAAAAAAATCAATGTTTTGCTTTGATTTTTTTGACATTTTAAGCAAAACTTTGATTTTTTAAATAATGTTATGTCATGAACCAATCGAAATAAAATAACCAATTTTTTTTAATGTGAGAAGGTGGCTGCTTTATGTATCACTCGGACACTTGCAACACCTTTAGGATTGCAGTTGCGTTGCCGCCTTTTAATGAAGTGGGTCCCGGCTACCTCACTTAACAGACGATACGAAGAAGTGTAACACTTCTACTTCACGTCGGTCTTCTGTGAGGTTGTGGTACTTACCCGGATGGACCTGCCCATTCCTGCAACAGAGAACAATGGTTGCGTGGCCCTACCACTGTCATGTAAGAAGAGTTGGTTTTCTTACGTATTTATTAATCTGTATTGCTGTTATATCATGTAATGATTATTCCTCAAACATATTTTTTACAGCAACGTCAAAATGTGCGTCAATGTAAGGACAGTAAAACAAACTCTAGAAGTTTTTTAAAGTTTTCCGTGGGGATCAGAAAGCTTTACCAACGTAGTAGTACCAAAGTTAAATCAATGTGTAAGTTGATTTTCTTAAAATACTTCCACATCTCTTCTAGTCCAGCAATCCGCAGTGGGGCCGCGTGGTGGACGATGCCCTGATACCCTCTATATAGAGGAGGCCTTTGCCCAGCTGTGGGACATGTATAGGCTGTTACTTTACTTTACTTTACTTCCACATCTCTTGCTTTTCGTCATTAGTAGGCTGACTTGTGAAATATGGCATTAGCTAGTAGTTGATGTTTTAACTGATAGCAAGTAAATAAGTAAGTAGTAGTAGACAGGATCGCAAAAGGTACCGACGAGGTTTAGCTCAAGACGTGTGAAGCACTCGCACTCGCGCCAAATCAAGGCAAGAAAGTGAAGACCTGCCTTTGTTACAGAGCGAATCCGCTGTCACACGATGGCATTGTTATAACGGCAACGGCTTTACTAGCAGCCATATACTTGAAAAAAGAAATTTCTAAGTCTCTGCCAAATTACCACATATCACCGTATTAAAAGAATAACGAAATTATAAGCATTAAATCTATCTTTTTTAAGATATAGAAGATTTTATGTATATACACAAATAATTAAATTTATATAATATATGTACGTGCGTGACATATGTCATTAATGAGTTTAATCATAGTTAAACGATTTAAAATAATGATATTATTTGTACTAGGTTTTATTGTTATAATGAAAGATGCGTAAGTTTTAGTAGCATTTTAAGCAGAGTGATTTCTAACTTCCAACATATTGTTGTTTTCTGGTTGGAAAGAGAAAAAGAAACCTTGGCTTACTATTCCAGAAGTTGTTTATACTAATAATATAGAAAGAACATTTATAACCGAAGTTATGTATCCTTTGACGTCATTTCCCATGACTAAATATCGCTTACTATCCGTAACTATTGACCTCATCAGAGCTTATTTTATAAATGGATATTTATAGCATTGCCATTAAAATTAAGAATTTCCTTCAATAAATATTGTTGCACTCACAACGTTACAATCAATTATATATTTACGGAAATAAATTTCTTTCGACCTTTGATTTTTTTCTATCTTTTGACTTAAGAACTCCTTCTATCCATATACATTTTATATCACAATACAAGTAATTATGTATTTGAACTGAAAAGACATTCGCCCGTCAAATTATTGGACATCATTAATATTTATTACACGGAAGATTTTATTGTTACATAATAGCAAGGATTTTTTTATGGAGAAAAGGGGCAAACGGGCAGTAGGCTAATAATCACCGCCGTCCATGAGCACCTGCTACACCAGAGGGCTTACAAATGCGTTGCCGGCCTTTTAGGAAAGATTATATTCTCTTGTTGAAGGTTCCCAGGTCGTAATAGTTCAGATGAAATGTATTTATATTATAACCTGCAAAATCATGCAAATTAGCACATATATTACAACGTGTTATTTAGAAGTTTGAAGTTTTTTTAAACTATCTGTACTATTTAGCACTGTTATTATAAAACATAAGAATGGACATCAATGTATACGGAAGAGCTTTGCACTGTGTAAACACTATTTTCATATCATTAATCTTTTGACTCTACCTTTAATAACCAATCATTAATTAAGGTGACCGTTACCGACCATGGAACAGTAGCGGCATCACAATAAAGAATACACTTCCTATTATGAAGGTAGTACCAAGATGAAACCAATCAAAGTGACAAACACAGATTAAATACAATTCTATTATTTGTAGACATATATTTCATTGATTACACCAAAACGAATGGTACAAACAAACTGTCATAAGGCGAATGATTGACGACCATTTTTATTTACAACATGGCTGACATTCATGATGTATATCGCAAATTGTTTACTTTCAAGGTATGTGTATAGAATAAAAGAAATTAAAGGCAAATCGGCAGAATTTATTTTATTAACAAGAAAAATACACGTACATTAATTGAAAACGACCGTCAATGTTCAGATATATATAAAAGTACTCTTTGGTTCAGGTTAATAACGGGATAATTTACAACGGCACTTATAAACAGAATGAAATTCTTAACGTAAAATTACACCAATTAAAGTATTATTAAAGTATTATACTCGTCTGTTAACGGTAATAAAAATCATAGTTATTATCAAAACTAAAAAAAACTATAATTTAGTTATTTATATAATTTAAAATAGTAATTTAACGATATTCTAGAGTCTTAATAACTAAGTTAGAGAAATAAAAGTAAGAGAATCACCTGAACCTCTCCATCAATGCAAATTGCAACGATACCCAATATTTAATTAGGCTTAATTAGGCATTTACAAAAGGATATCAGACGGGATCATGATTAATATTCAGTCGAATGACTTGTCAGATACTTGTCACATTAAGAATTAGACAAATTGTAAAAGAAAATAAAACATTCAACGATAATACAGATTGTGACATCTAAATATTTCTCACATTGAAAGTTTTCAGCGTCTGTCCACACGAGTTAATTTAATTTGGTGACGTACCGTTTCGCTGAAATTTCCCTGAACGCGTGTGTAAAACGTCAGGTTTATTTTGAACATTGTCCGAACAATCGTCCTACACACCTTCTGCGTATTTGGCGGGTAAAGTGGTTGCAAAGAGCGTCAATTGCGTATCTAATAAGATAACGAGAAAGAATGCGCAAGAACATCAAGACAATACGCCTTGTTATTAAAATATCGTTTGGGTAGACAAATCTTTAAAAGGTCTGAAATCGTTTTCTTGCGAAGATTTTTTTACATTGAATTGAAAATTAAGGAAATTTTATTGAATAACTCTTTATACTATTTGTATTTTAGAGAAAGATTTGGATGTGTATGAAGAAAAATTTGTGTTTGTGAAAGGGATCAGTATAAGGATGAGGGGTGATAGAGGAAAGTGGGAGGAAAGAACATGTTGTGCCGACTCCACCTAGTGTGGAACAAAGGCAGGAGAAAGAAGAAAAAGAAAACTATTTGTATTTGTTATATATAGACATATTTTAATAAACTTTTTTAAAAACGCTCACTACGCAAACCTAAATTTGTAATTATTATTTAAACCACATTAATCAATTTAGTTATTAAAATTAACGCAATGAACGTAACACATGCAATCCAAAATAATCATATCACTTAGTTTTCAGCCTAAAATTTAACGTCAATAAAGATAAAAATATAGATGACAACGGTTTATGAAGATCACTAACCGTGAATTACTCAGCGTTATTTATCA